TTATTTATTATTTTTATTTTATGTGTATGAATGTATTGCCTACATGTATATGAGTGCATCATATCATGCAATGCTGTGTAGGTCAAAAGACGGCATAGGAGCCCCTGGAACTGGAGTTAAGGATGGTTCATGGCCACTATGTGGGTTCTGGGAATCGAACCCAGGTCTTCTGCAAGAGCAGTCAGTACTCTTAACCACTGAACCATCGCTCCTGCCCCTCATTTTCCATATTTGTATCTCCTCTCTGCAGCAGTGAGACATCTGGCTTCTGATATCCTCTACCTGGTCTCTTTTACTCCAGCCTCTTCCACCACCTGTACAAAAATGGTTCCCTGACAATGATCTTACCAGCTCCACTCTGTTCTCTCCCAGGCAGGACTGGATGTGCATTCTTGGTTAGAATGCCAGCTCCATTTCATCTGTGAGCAGTAATACCATATTATGTATTTGTTGAAATATTTGTTATTGTTGTTATTGTTGCTTTTGAAACAGAGTCTCCCTATAGTCCCAGCTGGCCTGGAACTTATGTAGACCAGGCTGGCCTCAAACTTAGAGATCCACCTGTCTCTGCCTCCTGAGTGCTGGGAATACAGGGGTGTACCATCACGCCTGGCTTGTTGAACTATTTTAGAGTAAATTACAGACTAGTACCCATCTACCTACTGAACACCATGGACAGGCATTCTTTACTAACTCACTGGAAGGATAGTTGGAAGGGGAGGAGAAAAGCACAGAGACAGTGGCATATTTCTTGACTACAGATTCTGCCTCCACACTGGCATCTTTGCAATTTGTTTGACTGCAGTAGAAGTGGTAGGGGATGTGAAACTTTTTCCATTCAAAATCTTTAGTGGAAGCTGGGCATGGTGATACAGGCCGTTAATCCCAACATTTGGGAGGCAGAGGAAGGTGGATTTCTGAGACCCTGCCTTAAATACAAACAAACAAACAGAGGCTGGTGAGATGGCTCAGCAGTTAATGACACGGGTACACTTACGTACATGCAGGGAATACACTCATACATATAAAATAAATATAAATAAAATATTTAAAACAATGCCAGGCGTGGTGGTGCACACCTTTAATCCCAGCACTTAGGAGGCAGAGGCAGGCAGATCTTTGTGAGTTCAAGGCCAGCCTGGTCTACATAGTGAGTTCCAGGACAGCTTGGAGCTACAGGGAGACCCTGTCTCAAAAAGACAAAAAAGAAAATTTAAAACAAAAAAACCCCTCAACTTTTAGCAAGGACCTACCATATGCCAGGCCCCAATGCCAGCATTAAGACACAAAGATGAAAGACATAATCTAGGAACTGGGTATATGACTCAGTTAAAGTGCTTGTTTATCATGTACAAAGTCCTGGGTTCCATCCCCAGAACAGGAGGATCAGAAGTTCAAGGTCATTCTTAGCTATATAGAGTTCAAGGCCAGACTGGGTTACATGAGACCCCTTCTAGAAAGAGAAAAAGAAAGAAAAAAGACAGAATCCCTAAACTGCATAGTCATGAGGGAAGCCAGTTAGCCAACACACAACAGTACAGTACAGTGTGCCAGTGCCCTGTGTGTGGTAGAACTTGAGAAACTGGGGAAGGGTGACCAGAGCAGGCTCCCCAAGGCCATGCTGAGAAACATCGTGCCTGGGAACTTCCTCCATGATAGAAGGGAGTCTGTGTTTGACCCAATGACTTAGACCACTTTTTTTCATCTTCAGATTGAAGGTGGATGGAGGGCAGATGGCAAAGGACTTAGTATCTGGGATAAGTTTTCCCACACAGCACTCAAGGTTGAGAACAGTGACACTGGAGACTTGGCGTGTGACAGTTACCACAAGATCTCTGAGGATGTGGTGGCCCTGCAGAACCTGCGTGTATCCCACTATCGCTTCTCCATCTCCTGGTCTCGAGTCCTCCCTGATGGAACCACCAACTTCATCAACGAAGCGGGCCTGAACTACTACATTCGACTCATAGATGCACTGCTGGCTGCTGGCATCATACCACAGGTGAGGATATTGCCCTTGCAGGCACTGGGGCAAGAGTGACACATTTATCATGCAAAGAAAATGCTGCTTTTAGTTTATTTCACTTACTCATTTTTTCTTTATTTTTAAGATAGTATCTTATTGATTTTTGATTGATTGATTTGTGAGAAAGGGTCTTGTTTATTTATTTTTGAGACAAGGTCTCACATATGCCAGCCGGCCTCCAAATCCCTACGTAGCTGAAGATGACCTTGAATTTCTAAGCCTTCTCCTTTCACCTCCTGAGTGCTAGGCTTACAGGTGTGCAACAGCATACCATTTGTGCCCTGCGGAGGATGAAGCCCAGAGCTTCATGCATGCTAGATAAGCACTTTACCAACTGAATCATATTCCAAAGCCCCAAAAGATTTGTCTGTGTGTGTGTGTTATGGGTGTATGCATACATGTGTGGATTTCTTGGCCCATGGTTGTCTGTGCAGAGGGAAGAGGTCAACTTCAGGTATCTTTCTCTATTGCTCTCCACCTGATGTTTATTTACTTATTTTTATTTTATGTGTATGAGGGTTTTACCTGCATGTACATAAGTGTGTCTGTGTATGCGATCCCCTCGGATACCAGAAGAGGCTGTTGGATCCCCTGGAACTGGAGTTGTAGACAGTTGTTAGCTTCCATGTGGGTGCTGGGAACTGAACCAGGGTACTCTGTGCTCTTGCCACTGAGCCATCTCTCTAGCCTTGCCACCTCATTTTTTTTTTAATGTTATCTTTTAAAAAATATTTTATGAGCCGGGCATGGTGGCACATGCCTGTAGTCCCAGCACTTGGGAGGCAGAGGCAGGCAGATCTCTGTGAGTTCAAGGCCAGCCTGGTCTACATAGTGAGTTCCAGGATAGCTGGGGCTACAGAGAGACCCTGCTTCAAAAAGACAAAAAAAATTTTTTTTTTAATTTTTATTGATTATTTTTATTTTATGTGTTTGAGTGTTATGCCTGCATGTAGATAAGTGCACCCGTGTTGTGCAATGCCCACGGAGGTCAGAAGAGGCTGTCAGCTCTCTTGGAACTGGAGTTACAGTTGTTAGCTGCCATGTGGGTGCTGGGATTCAAACCTGGGTCTTCTGTAAGATCAGTCAGTGTTCTTAACCACTAAGCCATCTCTCCAGCCCTCCACCTCATTTTTTGACACAGGGTCTTCTCACTGAGCCTGGAGCTTAAGGTTTGGCTAAGCTGGCTGACAAGAAGCCTCAAGGGAAGCATGCGCTGCCGCACCCAACATTTTCCATGGATTCTGAGGATCCCAACTCAGAGTCCTCATACTTGTACAGCTAGCACTTTGCCCACTGAGCATCTCCCCAGCTCCAAAATGCTTTCGTTAAAAAACAGTTTTTGTGAGACAAAACTTACTATGTAGTCCCTAGACTACATATGTTCATATGTTCATACTATGTTCGTAGCTGGCCTAGAACATGCTATGTACACTAGGTTGGCCTTAACCTCACAGAGGTCAGCCATGCCTCCGCCTCCCAAGTGCTGTGATTAAAGGTAGGTGATATCTACCTGGCTTAAAACTTTTTATTTCATTGTATTTATTTTGCCTGTGTGGAAGTCAAAGAACAACCCGCAGGAATTGGTTCTCTCCTCCGATCATGTGGGTCCTGGGAATTGAACTCACGTCATCAGGTTTGGTGCAGAGTACTTTTACCTACTGAGCTATCTCCCCAGTCCCAAAATGCATTTTAATTTTAGCTTTTAAGGCAGGTGTCGAGACAGAGCTTTTAATTCCAGAACTCAGAAGGATAAGGCAGGTAGGTATCTGTGATTGAGGCTAGCCTGGTCTACATAGCAGTTCCGCGCCAGCTGGAGCTATAGGGAGACCTTGTCTACAAACAAACAAACAAACAAACAAACAAAGAACTTAGTTGTAGATATTTATGCCTGTATAGCTCACGGCTTCCTAAGGAAAATAGTTGGTAATACTACTGATCTGACTTCCTCACAGGTGACCATCTACCACTGGGACCTGCCTCAGGCACTGCAGGACATCGGGGGCTGGGAGAATGAGACCATTGTTCAATTTTTTAAGGAGTATGCAGATGTGCTCTTCCAGAGGCTGGGGAACAAGGTGAAGTTTTGGATCACACTGAATGAGCCATACGTCATTGCTGCCCATGGCTATGGCACTGGTGTGTCAGCTCCAGGTAAAGGACCTAGGCCCTACTTCTCAGATCATTGGATCATGAGGATCATGAAAGCTAAGTGGAAGAGAGGGTGTGACCAGGTAGTGCCTTGGAAACCCTGCTTCCAGGGGGCAGGGAAGATGGCTCCATTGGTAAAGTGCCTGATGGGCAAGTACTGGGGCCTGAGCTCTATCGACAGAACCCTTTTCAGAAAAGCCAGGTACACACCTGGCTTGTAATCCCAGGGCTGGGGATCCAAAGACAGGTGGATCCCTGGCAACCACTGACCATCCAGTCTAGTTTAATTGGTGAACTTCAGGCCAACAAGAGACCTTATCTCAAAGGAGGTAGACAGCTTTCCTATGTATAACATGTGGTGATATCCTCTGATCTCCTCCTGAATGCACACATGTATGCACCTGCACAAACACAGTTGTTTTAAAGCTAGAGATGGGATGAGAAGGCATGTCCTAAATCACTGACAAATGTACGTTCCATGGCCCTTAGCTGACATTTGGTTAGACCCCTTGTTCTCAAGGAGTCTGTGTCAGCTCCTGACATCAGCAGTATTCTACAGTCCTGACCCACAGGGGGTCCCCAGAGCTCCAACATGTGAACTCCTGAGGTGCACACCATGGTGGATAGTCCCCTGCAGAAGCGTGCCATGCTTTTAGAGGAGGAGGACAGAGGCTAGCATAAATCAAGTGCCCTTTTTCAGCCAGAATGCTGCTGGCAGCTTCCCACACATACATAAGCACTCTTTGCTGCCTATCCTCCCAAGAAAGAAGCTGAGAAGGCTGACTTACTCTCTGCCAACCAGCAAGAGGGAGAGCTAATATTTGAATTAAATCCTAATGTCAAACCCTTCCTCCCACACACAGAGGGATAAGGCTTCCTGCTGACATCCCTGTGTATTTCTAGGAATCTCCTCCAGGCCTGGCATAGCTCCGTACATTGCCGGTCACAACCTAATAAAGGCTCATGCTGAGGTTTGGCATCTCTACAATGACAAGTACCGTACCAGTCAGGGAGGCGTGATTTCCATCACCATCAACAGTGACTGGGCTGAACCCAGAGACCCCTCCAACCAAGAGGACGTGGAGGCTGCCATGAGATATGTACAGGTCTGTGTCCTCCAGGCTGTTTCTTCTTGTCTTTCTCTCTCATCAGGTCTGGTGGAAAAGGAATTAGAGGAGGAATCAAAGACTTGGGTTCTAGGCCCAGTTTTGTTCTTACTTAATTCTGTGAGCTTCGGGTCAGGGTGGAGAAGCCTGTAACTCTTCTGTTCTTTAAACTTTCCATCTGTGAATAGACATGCCTACTTACTTCAGAGGTCTGCTGTGACAAAAGGGATGACTTTTAACTGGCCATGGTGGCACTCACCTTCAATCCCAGCCCTCAGGAGGCAGAGGCAGGCGGATCTGTGTGAGATTGAGGCCAGCCTGGTCTGCATAGCTAGTTCCCTGTCGGGATGAATTTTAAGTTTCAGAATATTGTTTGCGGGTTGGCAAGACAGCTTAGCAGGTAAAGGCCCTTACCTGAAAAGCCTGGTAACCTGGTTCAAACCCCAGTTCTCATGTAAAGATGGAAGTAGAAAGCAAACTCCACTGAATTGTCCTTTGCTCTCCATATGTGCACCACGACACTCACCCATTACAGCCCCCCCACAATAGTTAATTTTAAGAAATTGTTAGTATAGAGCTGGGATGTGGCTCAGTTGGTAGAGTGCTTGCCTAACATGCATAAAGCCCTGGTTCCATCCCTAGCAATGCATGAAACTGTTTTGTGGTGGTACATACCTGTCATCCCAGCACTTGGGAACTTGAAGCAGAAGGGTCAGGAGGAGCTTGTCATCCTCAGCTACACACCAAGTTTGAGGACTGCCTGGGCTACAATGAAAACTTCTCTCAAAAAAAGATTGTAAATACACATGGTTCTCATTGGATGTAACATGGGTTTGAAGCCAACTCTCTTCAGTCTCTTTGCTGACTATTGCAAGGGATGGCGCCTGTGGGTATCACTGTTTAATTGTACTTGCTCCTGCCAAGGATTTCCTTAAATTAGAGAACCTTGTTAGCATCTGGAACTGCTAATTCTCTAAACAAGGAAGCACCTATTTTTGTTGTGGAATTCCCCCTACCCCCGACAGGAAGCGGACACTACAGTGAGCAGATGCCCATATGAGACACCCATGATCAGGAGAAAGAGGGAGAGAAAGACCCTCTCAGTGCAGCCGCCCCACAGGCCTCTGGTACTTCTAACGGGTGAGGGGCCCCTCTCCCTGTTTCAGCACCAACAGAGACTGCACTGCTCTTCTCACCCCGCAGTTTATGGGAGGCTGGTTTGCACACCCTGTCTTCAACAATGGAGATTACCCCGAAGTCATGAAGACAAGGATCCGTGACAGAAGCCTGGCAGCAGGACTCAACAAGTCTCGGTGAGTGCTACGTCCACTTCAGTGAGCCTGTGGGGCAGTCTCAGACAGGAGGCCATGCCTCACATCTTCTGCTTTTTGCTGGGAAGATGGCGTATATAAATCTTAGCTCAATGTCTGGCACAGGTATGTGTTTGGCAAAACAGTTGCTCTTATAGTTATTATTCAGGACAGCCATGGAATCTGTCCCAAGGGTCCCCACTTCTTAGCAATGCCATTATTTCACTCCAAGGACCAAGTCCCCAGCTCTTCCTACTCTAGTTTGTCATCTTGAGAGAACCTGATTACTTGGGGACTACCAGGCATGTGCCTTTGTGATTTAGTCAGCAGATGGCAGTGGTGTGAACTGAAGCCTCCCTGCTTCCTGCCTCTTCTCACTCCCTGTCAAGAACAGCTACCACTATCTTCCACTGGTATTTCAATTGGTATTTTGATTCCCAGACAAGTAAAAGAAGCAGAAAGACGAGGGCAAGAGCACCTGGCTACTGAAATGATGCAACTGGAGTTTGAAACAAGGCTGTTTGCCTCCAGGACCCATAGTCTTGGTTTAAGAATGATCCAGATGACATTAGAGGTATGGCTTCTGTTAGGGCAAAAGCAATGGTCCCTGGCCTTATGGGGACAGACCAGAAGCTCTACACTACCTCATGTGACCAAAGCAGAGTGATAGGAATTCAACAGGTATCAGTTCCTAACATAGCTTTTGAGTCTTTCTTCCCAAATTCTCCATCACTCCCAGCTTGGAGAGGTGCCTCAGGTGCTTCCCACACCACCTGGGGGGCCTGTCCTTCCAGGCAGCTGCCCTAGTCATGGCCAAGTGCCTCTAGTTCCAAAGTCTCCCCACCCTGTCCCCTATTTTCTTATCAAACTGGAATTCTTTTCCTCCTCAATGGCTCCCTCTCCATAGGCTCCCTGAATTTACAGAGAGTGAGAAGAGGAGGATCAGCGGCACCTTTGACTTTTTTGGGTTCAACCACTACACCACTGTCCTGGCGTACAACCTCAACTATTCTGCTGCCATCTCTTCCTATGATGCAGACAGGTAAGTCAGCCAGCAGGTGGCCTGAAGCCATCTCTGGAAAGGCAGAAAGTGCCTTTAGCTCGGCTTTCTACTCAGAGGTCTGTTCAGCTCAAGGCAGGGTCACGTAGGAGTATATGCAGCAAGCTTTACTCCCTGGTTCCAGGAAGTGACAGCCTCAGGCCACAGCTGCTCTCTATAACAGCTGTGTTTGGTTCTGGAAAACATTTTCAAGAAGAGTATTTCTTTTCCCCTCTTTTATTCCTTACAAATCTGTTTCCCTTTTCAGATTACTTTAGTAAAAATAACACTAAGGATTTTCTTCCTTTCCAAGACAAAGGCCAGAGTATTACTACTGTATTACACAGATTATACATATTTACAGGGGAAACATTGGAAAACAAGAATAGGAATTTCTTGCATGCATAATTTCTTTTTTTTTTGTCTTTTTGAGACAGGGTCTCCCTGTAGTCCCAGCTTTCCTGGAACTCACTGTGTAGACCAGGCTGGCCTTGAACTCACAGAGATCTGCCTGCCTCCACCTCCCAAGTGCTGGGATTAAAGGCGTATGCATAATTTCAGAGGTGACATGTGAGGGGACATCATTCTACATTTAAAAATATTTTATTATTTTTACTTTATGTGTATGAGTGTTTCTCCTGCATGTAAGTGCACCACGTGTATGCAATGCCCACAGAGGCCAGAAGAGGGTGTGAGATTCCCTGGAACTAGCATTGCAGAGGGTTGTTAGCCACCATGTGGGTGCTGGAAATTGAACCCAGATCCTCTACAAGAAGAGCAAGTGTTCTTAACTGCTGAGATATTTCTCCAGCCCTGATCAACATTCTTCATATATTTTTATATTTATATATTTTTATATCTACTTAGTTATAATTTATTAAGCAACAGTTGTATGTATACGTAGTTTTGTTCCTTTTGTGAATGTGAATGTTCGTGTGTGTGCAAGTACACATATATGAGCATTCATGTAGGAGGCCAGAGGACTACCTCAGGTGTCATCCCTCAGACACTGTCCACCTTGTTTTTTGAGACAGAGTCTATCATTGCCCTGAAAGTTGCCAAGTAGGGTAGGCTGGCCCCAGTGAGCCTAGGGAATCCACCTGTCTCTATCTCTTCAGCACTGGGATTATAAAGACCACCACCATGCCTGGCTTTTTGAATGAGGTTGGTTCTAGGAATTGAACTCAAGTCCTTGTGCTTGCAAAGAGGGCACTTTACTAAATGATCCACTTCCCCAATCTTCCTTTTGCATCAGGCATCTGTCTGGTTCTTTCTTCACAAGGAAGCTTTCAGCCTTTCACTCCCACTATATCCTGGAGCCTCTGAGTCAGACTCCTCTGCTTGTTGCCTTCCAGTCTCAGCAGTCCTGACACTGTTTCCTTGAACACTTCCACTAGAGCTGACAAAATGGTCACATTCAGTTCAGCTAAGGGAAATCAGGTACTGACCAAAGCAAGCATTTGTTTTTTTCCTGAAGAATCTGGGTATACAGGTCTTTTGAATGGAAATGCAGAGTTCTTTTTAAAAAATATTTTATTTATTATTTTTATTTTACGAGTATCGTCTGCATGTATGTGAGTGCACCCATGTCGTGCAATGCCGCAGAGGTCAGAAGAGGGCTTCAGATTCCCCTGGAACTGGAGTTAAGGACAGTTTGTAGCTGCCATGTGGGTGCTGGGAATTGAACCCGGGTCCCCTGCAAGAGCAGTCAGTGCTCTTAACCGCTGAGCCATCTCTCCAGCCCCAGAAATGCAGAGCTCTTGAGATACTACAGCTCCATGTCTTCCTATCGCAGGCATTCCTCTGTCATAAACTATTCCCCTATTCCTATCCATTGCTAAGAGAGAGGTCAGGGATGAGGAACTCCAAAATGCGTGCCAGTGGCCCCACTGGTATAATTAACTGGACAGGTGACTTTGGAACTCATTCTCTGAAGGGAGTTCTTATATTCCATTGGAAGACAGGAGTTAGAGACATGCAGACCTGTTCATGTCAGTGTGAGGCATCTTTTGTGAACAGAAACCCAGGGAAGGTTAGGGTCCCTGAGCAAGACCATGCCCCTGCCCAGGCAGTGAGCTCCAAGCATAAAGTGGCTAGCCAAAGCTGTCAGCACTGGGAGGGACAACTAGTGTCAGTGAGGGTTTGTTTTTATTGAGATAGGGTCTCATGTAGCCCAAGCTGGCCTCAAAGTAGGTAAGTAGTCAAGAATCACTTTCAACTCCTCATCCTCCTGCTGGGATTACAGAGGTGCACCACTACTCAGTTTATACAGTGCTGGGGATTAAATCTAGGAACTGACACATGCTAGGCATGCGCTCTAGCAAGTGAGCCATCTCCAGCCCTAAAGAGGAGATTTTTGAGGCAATTTAATTCTTTTGAGGTCAGTATACCCCTTAAGTCTTAAAAACCTAAGGATTTTCCTAATATAAGCCATTCTGTGTAAAGGACTTCTTGGAACCTCAAAACAAAACCTGATCTTTGTGAACTCCTAGGGGAGTTGCCACCATTGCAGACCCCTCTTGGCCAGACTCTGGCTCCTTCTGGCTGAAGGTGACACCTTTTGGCTTCCGGAAGATCCTCAACTGGCTGAAGCAGGAGTACAACAACCCTCTGATTTATGTCACAGAAAATGGACTGTCCAGGCGGGGAGACCCAGAGCTCAATGATACTGACAGGACCTACTACCTCCGTAGCTACATCAATGAAGCCCTCAAAGGTAAAAGCCAACCCACAAACCCCTTTCACTGTTGGAACATCGAGGTGTCTTCAGGAGGGCATCCCAGCATCCCAAGGGTCAGTAAATAAGACTAAGGCTTCTTGTTCCAGGGAGTTTCAGCCTTTGTTTGGGGCTGGAATTCAGGTCTTTGTCCTTCCTAGATTTACTCCATAGCAAGCAAATCCAGTTACCTGACACTGGCTAGACCTTAGTTCCTGATTTGAGTCCTCTGGGACCCTTCTTGCTGTGACATCTCCCACAGTGCTGCCCTCCTGAAGCAGGGCCATGAGTTGGCTGGTGGCTAGCTTTAGGGCCTTTTGTTCCTAAGGCAAACATTTGAGGGGCCTGGAGAGATAGCTCCATCAGCCAAGTGCATGAGGACTCCAGTTCAATTCCCTAAAACCACATGAAAACCTGGGCATGGTGCTTGTAATCCCAGCATTGGGGAGGCAGTGATAGGAGGACCTTTGGGGTTCACTGCCCAGCCAGCCTACCCTACTTTGTGAGCTTCAGGCCAGTGAGAGACCATGTCTCAAAAACCAAGGTAGAGAGCTCCTGACGAATGACACTTAAGACTGATCTTGTGCTTCCATATACATGCACTCATGTGAACGCATATGAACATGCAATATGTTTTTGTTCTTCTTTTTTTTTTTTTTTTTTTGAGACAGGGTCTCACTATGTAGCCTCAGCTGGTCTGGAGCTCACTATGTAGACCCAGGCTGGCCTCAGTCTCACAGAGATCTGCCTGCCTCTTCCTTCCCTCTTGCTGGGATTAATGGCATGTGCCACCACATGTGGTCAATATTTTTTGAAACTATTTTTTTTAATGTGCATGAATGTTTTACATGCATGTTAAGTGCACCCATGTTCGCAATGTCCATGGAGGCCATAAGAGGGTGTCCAATCCCTTGGATGGAACTGGCATTACAGACAGTTGATAGCCACTATGTGAGTGCTGGGAATTGAACCCAGGTCCTCTGCAAGAGCAGCCAGTGCTCGTAACCACTGAGGCATCTCTCTAGTCGCTCCCCCCACCGCCACCCCCAACATTTTTTGAGACCCTGGGCACCACCCTAGCCAAGGAAATAAGGAGACCCTATTCCAGCTAAAACCATTTCTTTGTTAAAAACTACTGCTTCTCTGTGGGGAGGAACATCATTCCAAGGCCCTAACTGGGGCCAACCTCCCAAGTTACAAAGGAAAGAGGTTAGGTCAGTCTATCCATGTTCCATTCAGAGCTACGGCCTTTCTAGTCAGGTGCTGGTGGCTCTGCATCTCCACCATGGAGGACCTACTAACATCACACATAGGAAGGGGCCCTTTCTCAGAGCTGGAACTCAGGCGTGCTGGATAGCTTTAGTGTCAACTTGACACACCTGGGTTGAGGGAGCCTCAATTTCCTCTATTGGACTGGCCTATGGCCATGTCTGAGGGGCATCTTCTTGATGAGTGATGTGGGAGGGCCCAGCCCACTATGGGTGGTTGTTGCCCCTGGGCAGGTGGGCCTGTGTTGCATAAGAAAGCAGGCTGAGCAGGGGCCAGGGGAGCAGGCCAGTAAGCAGCGTTTCTCCATGGCCTGTGCTCCAGCCCCTGCCTCCAGGTTCCTGCCCTGAGCTTGCCTTGAACTCCTTGATGAACTGTGACCCAGGAGATGTGAGATAAAATAAACCCTTTCCTCCCCAAGTTGGCAGTGGTCAGAGTGTTTTGTCGTAGCAATGGAGAAACGAACTAGGACATCAGGCTTGCTCACATCATTGCAAGGTGGGAAAGTGGGGAGGATTGTGGGTACCCTGGCTTCAGGTGGCCTGGCAGAGGTTTCTGAAGTGAGGAACACTCACACTAGGCCTGTCTTTGAGTAGCTGTGCAGGATAAGGTGGACCTTCGAGGATACACGGTATGGAGCACGATGGACAACTTCGAATGGGCCACAGGCTATGCAGAGAGGTTTGGTGTGTATTTTGTGAATCGCTCCGACCCTTCTCTGCCAAGGATCCCCAAGGCATCAGCCAAGTTCTATGCCTCTGTAGTTGGCTGCAATGGCTTTCCTGACCCTGCACAAGGACCTCACCCTTGTCTCCACCAACCAGGTGAGAAGCAACTGTGGGAGGGACCAACAATGAAGGCAGAAGGCTGAGAGGGAGGTGCTCCTTTAACCCACCTTCCTCTAGTTTACCTTCCTCCCACCTTTCCATTCCCTTCATTCATTTTCACAGAATGCTCTTGGCATCCTTGGGCTGAAACAAAGGACATGTGAGGCTAGTGTTAGACTTAGAGACTAAGGCCTTACTTTAGGAAAGAGCAGATCTAGATTCTTCCAGCCCTGCCCCTAATGCTCTGGCACCTTCCATGAGAAACTACACAGATGCTTCCAGGATCAAGCTAAAGCAGTAAAAGCACTAGGGAGCCTAGTATTTGTTGAGTGAGAGATAAAGTATAAATGGCTATGAAAATAAAAGTCATCCAATTTAAATTATATTTTAGGTGCCCATAGAGATGCTTAAATTGGGGTTGGGACTGTGGCTCAGTTAGTAGAGTGCTTACCTAGCATGCATTAAGCCCTGGGGATTCAATATCCAGTATTGCATAGGCCAGGTACAGTGACACACTCCTGTAATCCCAGTACTTGGGAGATGGAGGCAAGAGAATTAGAAGTTCAAGGTCATCTGTAGCTTATAGCTGGTCTGAGGACACCAGCCTTGGCTACCTAAACCCTGTCTCAAGAAAAATTAAGAGGTGTGGGTAAGATGGCTCAGTAGATAAAAATCACTTAATGGTGTCAGCCTGATGACCTGAGTTCAATCCCAGGAACCCAAAGTGGAAGGAAAGAACAAACTCCCATGCCAGGCATGGTGACACATGCCTTTAATCCCAGCACTCAGGAGGCAGAGGCAGGTGGATCTCTGTGAGTTCAAGGTCAGCCTGGTCTACATAGTGAGTTCCAGGCCAGCTGGGGCTACAGGGAGACCCTGACTCAAAAAAGAAAAAAAACCCCAAACTCCTAAAAGTTGTCCTCTGTCTTTCCTGTGTATGCACACATACAAATGATAAAAACACAACAGTGCAGGGGACAGACACCTCTACCTTAGCAGTCAGCTTGCTCTTACCGCAACGTGATAGGTAAGAGTGCCAGAGCCTGAGGCCCCATTATTTCCTAGATGCTGAACCCACGGACGGCCCTGTGAGACAGGAGGTACCATTCCTGTGGCTGATGCTTGACACCACAGAGGCACAGACAGCTCTGTATGTACTCTTTGCTCTTCTGCTGCTTGGAATCTGTAGCTTGGCATTTCTGTTCTATAAATACTGCAAGTGCTCCAAGCAAAGGAGAACACAGCCAAGCCAACATAAGCTGAGTCCTGTTTCTTCCTTCTGATAAGTCACCACCTCCTCAAAGTGTGCAAAGCAGCCTGATTTCCTTAAATATTGCTACTGGCACCAGATTCCTGCTCATAGTGGATTTCGTCAAGGCCTTCTGCACTGCTGGAGATGACTTCCATCTTGAAGGATTTCAGGTTGCTGTGTGAAATGGAAATATCTTCAGTCCTGGAGTTTGGCCACTAGAGGAGCCTATCAATGCCTCTTGTGGAAAGGCAGAATCTCAACTGATCTAGTGCTGTGTGCTTGTCAATAGTTTGAAGGCAGAATCCTAAGTAAAATCCACATAATTGCTTTTTATAAGAAAAGGAAAGCAATCGCTTGCACTGTGTAGAGAAGCTGCAATGTTAGCTCCTGCCCCTTCTTCCTGTTCTCTCCTAGCTTTGTACCCATGTTTCTCAGGAATAAAAGCCATGCACTGTGCACTGTCTCCTGTGGCTGCTTCCTGAGACAGTAGGTTCAAAAGAACTTGTAAAGTTACAGGACCCATTTCCAAAACCAGAGCACGGCTCACTGCTTAGGGGATCTTTGCTCCCCTATTCTCTATTCCCAAATACTCCCTTCACCCCTTGCCAACTCTTAGGCCATCCCTGGCTCTCCTGATAGCAGATGACAGACTCCAAAGCCCTGAGCTCTGGCTTCACAGCCCAGGCGATCCTTGCTCACAGAACCTGTTTCCCTGCCTCTTCCCTCTGTGGTGGTTCTGACCCACATCCTTGCCATTCTCATACTCCTTTTCTTTGCAAATGCTGTTCCTTTGGCCTGTGAAGCCTTTCTGAAAATACTTCGTTTCAGTTTGGATAAAGTCTCCCCTAGATCACTTTCCTCATTTCCCTAGTCTGTCTTTTCTCTGCTTTAGAGCATGGCCACATTTTCCCGGAATGGTATCTACCTCTGCTACAAGTTTCTTGGGGTGAATGACCATGTCTGTATTTGGCCAGCACATTTTGCAGCCAGAAATGGAAAGCATAGCTGGTCCTTATATGTTCATCCTTTACAAAACACACCTGAAACTGGGCATGGTCCCAGCACTCTGGAGACAGAGGCAAGTAGATTTATTGAGTTCAAGGCCAGCTGGAGCTACAGGGAGACCCTGTCTCAAAAAGACAAAAAAACAAAAACAAAACAAAACAAAACCCAAAAAACAAAAAAAAACCCAAAACAACAATAAGAAAAAAAACAAAAAACAAAAAAGCCACACACCCAGAGCGCTGGCCAGAGCAGACCAAAATATGGTCTTTATCAGTTCTCCTGAATGTGCTACTAGACGCTCTCAGTTAAAAAAACAAATGGGCTGGAGCGACGGCTCAGCGGTTAAGAGCACTGACTGCTCTTGCAGAGGACCCGGGTTCGATTCCCAGCACCCATATGGCAGCTATGAACCATCCTTAACTCCAGTTTCAGGGGAATCCGAAGCTCTCTTCTGACCTCCGAGGCACTGCAGGACATGGGTGCACTCACAGACGTGCAGGCAATAAATACACTCATACACATAAAAAAAATACTAAAAAAAAAAACCACCCATTATATGTATCCTGTATCATTTTTTAGGAACCTTGGAAAATGGCTTTTAAAAATAAAAAGCAAGACTGGCCATGTTGGTACATATCTGTAATCCCAGCACTCAGGAGGCAAGGGAGGAGAATGGAATTTGAAGTCAGCCTGGACCACATAATGAGATCTTGCTTGGGGTGACAGAAGAGAAGCAGGGGCCAGGGACACAACACAGTAGTAGAGTATTTGCCCAGTAGATTCAAGGCTCTGGGTTCAATTCCTAGCAATTCCTTCACTACCACACACAAAATTTTTTGCCAATTTTAAGAGTGATCATGTTGAGCATGGTAGTGCATGCTTTTAATTCCTCTGAAGCAGAGGTAGGCTGATCTCTGTGAGACTGAGGCCAGCCTGGTCTACATAGCGAGTTCCAGGCCAGCTGGGGCTACAGGGAGACCCTGTCTCAATAAAAAATAAAAATTTTAAAACAAGCCAGGCGTGGTGGTACACGCCTTTAATCCCAGCACTTGGGAGGCAGAGGCAGGTGGATCTCTGTGAGTTCAAGGCCAGCCTGGTCTACATAGTGAGTAGGACAGCTGGGGCTACAAGGAGACACTGTCTCAAAAAGACAAAAACAAAACAAAACAAAACAAAACCATACACATACAAAAATGATTCATCCTGAAGTTCTGTTTCTTGCAAGAATTCTTCCCCTAAATCAAGTCCACAGAAATTTCCTATCCAAATGGCCCACTAATATCTTGGCAGTCAGGATCTTGTGGTAACCATGCAATTTTTCTCTATCAATAGATAAGTGGAGCTGAAGAGAAGGCTCATGGTTCAGAGAAATTTCTCCTCTTCTAGAGGAACCAGGCAGTTCCCAGCACCAATGTGGCAGCTATCAACTGTAGGTAACTCCAGTTTTAGGGATCCAATGTCCCCTTCTGGCCTGCTGAGGCACTGTATGCATGTGGTACACTTCCATACCTGCAGGCAAAGTACTTGTACACATAAAATAAGTCAAAAAATACATAGGAGCCAGGTGTGATGGTGGATGCCTTTAATCCCAGTACTCAAGAGACAGAAGCAGGCAGATAGATGTTTGTGAGTGTGAAGCCAGCTTGGTCTGCGTAGTGAGTTCTAGATCACCTAGGGGCTACAGGGAGACCCTTTCTCAAACAAAATGAAACAAAAAACATAGGAAAAGGTTGCCAAATGACTTTGATTATTAGTGTTTTGAGACAGGGCATCACTATATAGGCCTGGCTGGCTGGAACTCACTGTGTAGATCATGCTGGCCTTGAACTTGTGGTTCTCCTACTGCTTCTGTCTTAAAGTATAGGGAATACAGGCATGCACTACCATGCCTGGCTAAATGGGGGTGGTTCTAAAACTGAGAACTGAAGATATTTAGGACATTTCTTGGGCAGAAAGATTCATTATTGAAAGTTGTCAATCATACCTAAATCTCAAATTCAATATAACAATGTTTGTGGGGTAACTGGCAAAATGCTTCATATATTAAGTTTATTTAAGAGCCAGGATAAGTCTGGGGGGGTGAATATCAAAATATTCTATTTTGATCCCCAGAACCCACATGAAGGTGAAAAAGCAAAGCAATTCTACAAAGCTGTCCTCTGACCACCATATGCATTCTGACAAAGGCATGCCCAAACATGATATATACATACAATAAACAGACAATAAAGAAAAAAAATTTGACGAGGTGGGCAGATTCTATGATTTTGAGGCCACATTGGTCTATATAGAGTTCCAGGTCAGTCAGGGTTATATAGGGAGATCCTTGAGAGAAACTGGGGGTTGGGGGGGTGGAGAAAGAGGGAGATTTTCAAAGAACAAACCAACATAAAGGTCTTTCTTAACAGTGGTCTGGCAGTGGAAAACAAAGAGAGATCACTAACAGAAAATAGCTGCAAGTGTACATGAAATTAGAATATAAAGCAAAGCTTACCAGCCAAATCAAAAAGGAAAGCTGTGTGATCCCTTAACAGGTTGTAGGTCAATAAGTTCCTATGAGAATATTAGGATATAAAAATTTAGTTGGGGGCTGGGGAGATGGCCCATCAGTTAAGAGCATTGGCTGCTCTTGCAGAGAATCTGGGTTCCATTCCCAGCACCCAGGTGGCAGCTAACAACCATCTGTAATTCCAGGTCCAGGAGATCAGACACCCCCTCTGACCTCCACAGGCATTGCACATGGGTGCACTTACACATGTGCAGGCAATACATTCATATACATAAAACAAAAATAAATATTAAAAACAAAGAGTGGTTGGCATCCCTATTCCCTATTGGCAATTTGGGTAACCCCTTCAGAGGATGGCGTGATAAGAATAGGAGGTAGGAACTGGCTAGGCAGTTAGGGTAAAATGACTCTGAAGAAATGTAGCCAGTTTCTTGGCTAAAAGTCAAAATGTCCTTGGGCCCGTTGGCAACATACTCTGTTCCAAAGGCCAAAAATGTCAAAAGTATTGGGGCACTTGTATCTAATCCTTAAAAGATTTTAGGGTTACCTCTTCAGAAGGGGAAATGTTGGAGGGGAGGGAGTGGGCATGGATTTGATCAAAACAACTTGTATAAATTCTCAAAAGTTTTTTTGTAAAAATTAAGACAAACAACCCCACAAAACTTAGTTTTTGAGGCAGAAAGGTGTCTATGAGCAAGAATCAAGACCTAGAGGGCAAAAAGAAATACACTTGATCTATCTGACCACATAAATATTGTGGCAAGCCTGGTGTGGTGGTGCACGTCTTCATTCCCAGCATCTGGTAGGCAGAGGCAGGCAGATCTCTATGAGTTCGAGGCCAGCCTCATCTACAGTGAGTTCCAGGCTAGCTGGAGCTGCAGAGAGACCCTGTCTCAAAAAGACACCCCCCCCAAAATATATATATGCAGAATGTTACCATTCAGGTACCCCCCCCCCCAAAAGAGCCTTATGGGATTGTGCTTGCCACTGAGCCTGACAACCTGAGTTTGAATGTGAGGACTCCTATGAGAGAGAACCTGACTCCTACAAGTTGTCCTCTGATCTCTATGTGTCCATCTATAAATACACATACACACACACACACACACACACACACGGAGAAAAATATTTAAAAGAGTAAAGGATGAAATATTTACAGCAATATGTTAGTGAAGAGCTAAATTTCTTATGTACACAGAATTCTTACAAATCAATAAAAAAATATGAAAAAACAATTTTAAAATAAGTCAAAATGTCCAGTGGCATTAAAGATGTCCACCTTCATTCAAGATGAAACACACATAACTCCCAACTATTATGTTGACAAAGATGGAGAATAACGAAGTTGCAAAGGGGTAGGGTGAAGCCTCACAAACTGAAAAAGTGTTTGTATTAATTCATACAGCCCTTAAAAGAATAAATCTAGCATCTTTTGTAATCCAAACAACGAACATCCTTTAAGGTAACAAACCATACAAACATGTCTTCACAATAAGAACACAGCTGATCCCCTCCCCCTCCAAGTTGCTCATTGGAGCAATGTTTGCAACAGAAAAACTAAAGAAGTAATTTTAATAACCATGGAACACTGCCAAAACATGCATGGGTAACTGGTTGAGTCTTTACATCAAGCAAAAGACTATGGAGCTAGTAGTAAGAATGAGGCAGCTATGTGTGCTGGCAGGCAAAACATTACCACAAGTAAAAAACAAGATGCAGGTAATGTATACAATATGATCCCATTTATTTAAAAATAAAGATTACAGATTTGCTTATATGCATAAAATTTTTCTGACAATTACATTAGAAACAGTTAATAACAATTACCTCTGGGGATTGGTAGTGGGATAAGATGCCAGGACAGAGACATTTTCATTTTATAGCTTTACATACTGTTTGAATTGTTTTCAACCATGTGTACTTTTTTGAAAGTTAAAATTATGGAGGAATCTTACTCAAACATTATGAATTATGTACATTTTCTCCAAAATTTGTATTTTTCTTTATGACAAACTGACTTGAGGTACTTGATGTTTTTCTAAATTGTTTTTTTTTTTTTTTTTTTTTTTTTTTTTTTAAACGCCAATGAAGACAAATACTGGCTAGTCAGGATACTGATAACAATGGAATTCAAATTTGGCTTCAATAGGCCTAAAAAGCCTCGTCGGATTCCTTCTATCTAGAAAACAGGAGACAGATGATTTTCTCAACATAATTCAGAGGCCAAAGAATGAGTGGGACAGGTGTCACCTGTGTGAGCCAATGTCATCCCTTCTCATAGATTAATACCCAGGGTCATGAAGCTCTTTGTGCATCTGTAGAGGCTCCACGGAACTTTCCAAGGAATAGCTAGAATCTCACACACCTTTTAGACTATTTTCTTCATAATTATTTGTCATGACTAGCATATCCTCAGATACTTCAAAAGGTAATGACAGTAAAAATTTCTTGAACACAAAGTCAGACTTGTCAACAAGATTTTTTTTTTCTTGTAAACTGAGCACATGGTATGTTCAGAGTTTGTTTCTTCTGGGGGTTC